TAAGGCTGAAAATTTTTAATCATGTGTAATATATGCCACATTTCTTTATCCATTCTTCTATCAGTAGATTTTTGGGTTGCTTCTGCCTCTTAGCTACTGTGAACAAGGATGTATAAGAATTTGCTACTTTTTTGTTGAATAATGTTATATTTCAGAACAGTTTTACTTTTGGAGCAAAATCTAGAAGAAAGTACATAGAGTTCCTATATGCTCCTGTCCCCATAGGACACAGCCTCACTCTCTACTCAAATTTTGCACCATAGTAGTGTACATATCACAATTTGTGATCCTTCATTGATGACATCATTATCCAGCCTATAATTTAATTCAGATGCACACTTGGCATCAATTATTTACATTTTCATGAATGTATAACGTATAAAGGATATGTGCCTACTATTGGGAGTATTAAATTGAATATTTTCACTGCCTTAAAAATACTCTGTACCCTACATAGTTATATCTCCTCCTCTAGTGTATCTTTCATTTATCATCAGTTTGTAATTTTCCTTAGACAAGTCCTATATGTACTTTGTTAGATGTATTCTTGAGTTTTTGAGTTTTTTTTTAAGCAACAGAAATGGAATTTTAAATTAAAAATTTCATGTGGTCTTGGCGAATGTATATATATATATTTTAAAGAGAGAGAGAGAGAGAATTTTAATATTTATTTTTTAGTTTTCGGAGGACACAACATCTTTGTTTGTATGTGGTGCTGAGGATGGAACCCGGGCTGCACACATGCCAGGCGAGCGCACTACTGCTTGAGCCACATCCCCAGCCCCAATATATATTTTTATTTGTTGATCTGGGGTTCTGTGTCTTGACTCAACAAGCTTACATGTTAGATGTAGAAGTTTTTTGTTGATTCCTTGTGATTTCCTATGTAATCAATCAGGTTTTCTGCAAAAAGGCAGTTTTTTCCTTCCTTTTTGGTCTGTGTGCCATCTATTTTGTTTCTTGCCTTGTTGTAGTGGGTTGAACTTCTTGTACTATATTGTATGACAGTGGTGAGAGTGGACATTCTTGTCTTTTGCCTGACCTTAGGAAAGATTTCAGTCTTTATGATGTTAACTATAGGTTATTATGATAAGCTATGCTTGCGTCACTTATTACCTAGACCAACCACTTGGACTCCTTGTCTTATAAACAATTGCTTTTCCTCTTAATATTTATAGAAGCCTCTTTTTTTTCTATTGTCCTAAAATTATGTACACTGATATTGGCCTCTTTAATGTGCTGGAATATGAAGGGCTTATAAACTTTTATTAGGGAAATTATTAAATTATTAAAATAAATTATTTCTTGGTTGATTTTGTCTTCTGTTTTCTCTTTTTGGATCTCCTATTATCTGTATCTTTGTTCTTTTTAAGATTCTTGTGTAGGGATCACAATGCTCTTTTCCTCTCATTCATGTTTTTGTTCTCACTGTGAAGTTTTCCTTGACTTTTCCATTGATACTTGTTTAAGTTTTAGAATCAAATCTACCTCATATTTTATATTGTCAAGAGACTTTAATATTTAAGTATTTATTTTTCATTGTATTCTTGTATTGTTCCATGCCTGCTATATCTCCTTTTATGTCATGGAAATTATTAATAATAATATTTTTATTTTTTTGTTATTTTCTTCCTATTGATACACTTTTTAGATGACTGTTAATCTTGGTTGTCTGGATATGATTGACAGTGCCAAATCAAAAGCTAATGGAAAGCTCTGTGTATGTGTTTGTCAACTTTCAACTTTATTGTGGGGTGCTTTGGTTGTGATGTTTGTTAGAGTCCTCTGATGGGGAATATATTTTTTGGTTTTTCCTCCTAGACTTGCTTGATTTCCCAAAGAAGATTCATAAGCTCCTGCCTAAAAGATAAAGTTCAGATGCTGGAAGCATAATGGGAGGGGAGACATGGATGGTAGGCAAGGACTGGTTCTGTACTAAGAATTAATGTTGTCACTTAATACTCTTGGTTTTTTGTTTTATATTCACCTGTACTCAGGGTACTGCTGTCTTACTAAGAATAGCCTTTCACTCTTCTGCTGGGAATAGGCAGGGTGAGTTGTCTAAGAGAGTAAAGGTCTTAAGTGTAAGTCTTTTTCAAATAGCCAATAACAAACCAGCCTTCCTTATTTTAGCTTCGTCCCCTTTCACACCCAATCCAAGTGTGTCTGCTGTTATCACTTATTGTGCCTTTTAAAGATTTAAAGGTTTAGAGTAGTTTGAATCTCAGGGCTTTTTTTCCCCATCACCACATCCCTGCAGTTTACTTAGGGCTGCTAAATTTGTCATCTTTTTTTGGTCTATTTTCAAAATTAATTGGGGGTTATTATATATTTTTAAACCCTATTTAATTCAATGTTGTTTTCTTAGATTATTTTAAAGGGATAGCTGGGCGTATTGGTATACACCTGCACTCCCAGATTATCAGGAGGCTGAGGCAGGAGTATAACAAGTTCAAGGCCAGTCTCAGCAACTTATTGAGACCCTATCTTAAAGTCAAAAAAATTTTAAAAAGGGCTGGGGTGTTATTCAGAGGTAAGGTACCCTGCGTTTAATCTTCAGTGCTGAGGAGGTGGTAGGAAGTGCATAAAGGGATAAAGTGAAATGCATGTCTTCAGCTTGCCAGATTAACTCCAGATTTGAAATAAGCATTAATTTGTCTCTTCTGGTATATGTCTCTTTATTAAAAAAAAAAGATTAACTATTTTGGGGATAATTTATATACTCACATGGTTTGAAAATTAAGAGGCATAAAATGTTTCTATTTCCTCCATCTCTCATTTTTTCATCCCCCCCCCATGGACAAATAATAATTATGATTTTTTATGTGTCCTTAAAGAGTCTGTATATAGGTGTGATTGTTTGTATGTATAATATATATAATTTATGTATATTTTTGCATATACAGTTAATCTTGTTTTGTCTGCTGTATACAAGGTTGTATTTTATTCTGTCTCTTCATATTGTTGTATGTATTACCTTTTCTGCTTTGTATCTTCTGTCTCATTCCATGTTTCTATTAACTACTTTATTCTTATTTATATTTTTATAGTACTGGGGATAGAAAGCACTAGTGCTCTACCTTTAATTTACATCCTTATCCCTTTTTGTTTTATTTTGAGATAGGGTCTCACTTAGTTGCCCATTCTGGCATTGAACTTGTCATTCCCTGTGTCAGCCTCCTGAATAGGTGGGATTACATGCATGCACCACTTCACCTCGGAGGGCATTTCATTCTTTTTTGCAGATATAGGAAATATTCCATTATACACTTGACATTTTCCTGTCATTTGCTAATTATGCTGTAGTGAGTAAACTTTTATAAAAGTTATTTCTCTCATGTCAAAGTATACGTGTAGGGTAAAGACTTAGCAGTGATATTTTTGCTTTAAAGGGTATTTGAATAATAATTTTGATTAATATAGTGAGAGAATTTGATCAAACTTTTGGATTTTCCAATAAGCTCTTAGGTAAATGTCAGTGTATGTCAATGTAGCTAAATTAAAAAATTTTTTGGTAGTTGTAGATGGACAGAATGCCTTTATTTTATTTTATTTTAATTTTTATGAGGTGCTGAGGATTGAACCCAGTGCCTCATGAATGCTAGGCATGCGCTCTGCCACTGAGCTGTAGCCCCAGCCCCGTAAACTAAAATTTTAATTGGAAAATTTCTTAATTATTCAAAGTATAATGACTTGTGAAGCTCATCTTTGTATGGCTAACCCTCTTTCATTATCATCTATTCCCCCTTCCTCCACATTATTTTGATTTACATCCCAGAAAACACATCAGTTTATTGGTTCATATTTTATTTTTTATTTTGAAAAGTAAAGAATATTCAAATATAACTATAATATTATAGGGGAGTAAACATTTCTCCTCTGTCTTCTCAGGGTCTCTGACTGAATATGAGTATGAGAATTAAAATAGATGAATAGGATGAAAGAATGCAAATTTTATTTAAAACTTTTATATGTGCAATAGACTTCTCACAGGAAGATGAAGACCTAAAGAAGTGACTACGCCTGGGTGCTTATATACTAGGTTGAGCAAAGAGTGACATTTGTGGAAGAGTATCTGGAAAGATAAGGATTAGTTTAATAAATTTTTAAATGGATTTTCCTTATCCTGACTCTTGATATTTGGTGATGAGAATATTGCCCTCTTCCTGGCATGGGGAGGGCATCTTTCACATAGAAAGGGAAGATCAGAGTGTCCTTTCTTCTGTTTTTCATGTGCCTTTAGCTTAAAATATTCAATATTTTAAAGCACCATATTATAGTGTGGCATGTCCTAAACTTTTTTAGCACCATTATCATTATAGTTTTAAGGAATTTCTCTTACGTGTGAGGTTGAAAATCTTTTTCAGGGCTGGGTATGTGGCTCAAGTGGTAGCACGCTCGCCTGGCATGCGTGAGCACTGGGTTCGATCCTCAGCACCACATAAAAAAATAAAGATAAAAAAATTAAAAAAAAAAAAAGAAAATCTTCTTCATAAGGTTCAAAGCCACTTGTATTTCCTGACTTTATTTTTTCTGTTTATTGCTTGTATATCAGTTTTTTATCCAGTAATATTATTGAGTTCATTTATTATTATGTAGACTAGGAATTCTTGTATAGCATTGGATGGGACCAGCAACACTGAATATTTTTGTGTCATTGCTAATTTGAATGGGACTATTCTGAACCATCACCTATGATACTTGCTATAGATTATTTTAAATAATCAGAATTGGGTTTTCTATTGTTCTTATGATTAGGTGTAGGATTTAATTAATCTTTCTTCACTTGCTGAAATGTCAATATGATGAATTATATTAGTACTTTTTTTGTGTGTGTGTATGATGCTAAGAATTGAACCAGAGCCTTGCATAGGCGAGGCGTATACTTTGTTTCTGAGCTACACCCCTGGCCCTTGTGTAAATGTTTTAAAGCATGAAATAATGAGAATTAACTAGAACACTTCTCAAAATTAACATTTTGTTTTTATACTCCCTTACAGGTGGTCAAAAATGTGATAACTTTGCAGAAAAAAGACCCCTTCTTGGTGTGTGTAAGAGCATTGGATCTTCCGGGTAAGGAAATTTTTAAAAATAAATTGAATCAGCTACTACAAATTTGTGTGTTTATTCCAGAATGGAACCTCTGATGTCTTAAAAATCTTCGAAATCATAAGACTAAGCTCCCATAAGAGAAAAGAGAAAGGAAGTAAAACATATTTAGGGTTTTGTGATATAGCCACTGAATTCTTTATTTCCCTGCTCAGTATTTTTTCACGTATAGAGTGATAGCAGGAGGCAAAAGAAAACCAGTCATAAATAAGAATATAGTCTTTAAATAAAAGATTGCCATTATTGAAAAAATTTTTAAATTTATGTGTTTCTGTATAGTCATTGTTATGAATGTCTTTATACAATAGATTTGATGTTACTATTAGCTAATAATAATGTCATTTTTATGACAGAATAAAAATTATTAACTGTAACTAACATTTATTGGTGCAGTAACATGTGCCTGAGTCAGCTCTAAAGACAGCATAAATTTGTCTTTATTCCTATTGCAGAACTGTGAAAAAGTGCCATTCTGTTCTTCTTTCATAGTGCAGCATAAGTAAGGCACTGGATTCACACAATTAACCTGTGGATTCAAATCTAAGCAGCCATGTGCTTAATTTAATGCAGGCTGCATTTGTAATAGTAATAGGGCTGTGGACTAAGAGGACAAATTGTTATTTATTTTGAAGTCAGTTTCTTTATTTCCTCCTTATGTAAAATGGGAATAATAATCTTTCCTGTGATTTATATTGAATTAGCCATCCTTTTGTTATTGATTTTTTTTCTATATAATTCCAGTTAGAAATTACGTTTAGCCACTAGTAAAGTTACAGTGACCTACACACTTTCTGTAGTTAAAAGTCTACTGATAATGGGGTGTGGCTCAGTGGCAGAGCACTTGCCCAGCATGTATGAGGCACTGGGTGTGACCCTCAACACCACATAAAAATAAATAAATAAATGAAATATTGTGTTTATCTACAACTAAATATATATATTAAAAAAAGAAGTCTACTGATAGGCAGTTCCGATACATTGAAATGTTTTGATGATGTCATTAGTGATCTAGGTTCTTTTCTAGCTTTGACATTCTTTTAATGTGACTCCTTTTCCTAATGATCTCAAATGGCCACTGTCTTTTCAGTTACTGCATTTCCTTCAACTGAACTCAGCTGTAAAAAAGTTGGAAAGTCATTATGGTTTTATTAGTAAGAAGATGATAAAAATGGATATTAGATTGGCAACTGGAAATCTATGACAAATGCTTTCAACTCAGTCTATGTAGATCATGGGGCTTTGGAAAAGGCACGAATATTTTAATGATATAACATGTTTTGATCATGGAGTCTTTGTTATTGCTTCATAAGGATGTATTTTAACTTCATGTACTACTAGACAAATTTCTTCAGTGCAAATTTTGGGTATGAGTAGGCCTTTGGAAATTTATTGTGTACCAAAGTACTCTGCCAGATATGGGATGAGAAAACCAAAGCTTGAAAACCTAATTTCCTTCCCCAAAGATGTAAGGATGTGACTGAAAAGAAAGAGTACAACTTGTGAAAAATAATTATGAAATTATGATGCATACGAGATTCAAAGAAGGGAGAGGTAAATATGTATGGAGTTATGGCAGAAGGCCTAATGGAGAAGTGACACTGGCTGGATCTTAATGAATGGGAAGTATTGCAATAGATACAGAAGAGTAAGAAGGGCATCCAAAGTAGGTTATAAAATGATCATGGAACAGAAATGGTCATGGAGCAAATAGACTTAAGAATGATGAAAGTTTATGAATTAGAGGTAAGGTCATCTACACAGGTAAAAATATATATGCCCATGCCCTGGTACTCAACAAAGGCATACAAGAATCTGAAAATGTTTAGGTTTCAGCAGTTGCTGAACTCTGCACAATAACAGTGGTAATCTGTGGCATTCATGCCTGCAGCTTCCATCCCATTCTTAAGTTATCCCCCTTTCAGGCGTGGTAGATATGGAGGCTATTCCAGAGTGAGGAAGGTTGTGCAGACCAGCCCAGTACTGCCTTACTGTGGTTGAAAGATGCTCACTCAACTTGAAATGTCAGGTGTTGCCCATGTCTACCAACAGTGTTGATGGAGGTTACTATCTTGAGGCATGTTTATCTCGAGGACCAGTGACTTTTTCAGCTTCAGTCATTAGCTCAGGATTCATGAATGTATGGAGCCATAAAAGGCACAGGGAAAAAAAATCTGGGTAGACTTGAACATGGATGAATGTGCAGATGCTTTGGCAAAGGCATCTCATCATTGGCTGACTCTGAAGATACATAGGGAGAAGGACAATTCCCTGACACCAGCCTGTCTCTTAAAGCAAGAATAAAAAGAATCAATAAAACTGAGTAGAGATATCATTAACTGCGCATTGTAGAGGAAGACATTTCATAGGATACAGGATTAGTGTACCCTATCATGTAAAATGCCTACTTTTAAATATAAAATTATAACACATGCTAAAAGAAACAAATAGTGTGGCATAATGGGGGAAAAAGACAGGCAATGGAAATAGTCCTCTGACTCTCTCCTGATGTTAAATATTGGAGACAAAAATTTTAAAGCAGCTTCTACAAATATATTGTAAAAACTAAATGAACTGTGTTTAAAGAATTAAAGGAAAGTATAATGATAAATAATTCAAAACATCTCAAAAAGGAGTAAGGAATGTGAAAGAGTAAATTAACTAAGGAACTCAGCACCATGTTCAAGACAGCACAAAAAAGATGAGGGGGCTGATAAGTTTACAAGGGAGCTGAGAGAATGGAAGCCACAGATAATGGGGAAGCTATGATGAGGAAGTCAGAATTTGTTGTTACCTGCAGAAGAGTGAAAGCTCCACAAAAAGAAGTGTTTTTGAACTGGATGGCACAGGAGGAAAGGGAAACCTTAAAAAGTTCCAACTTTTGTGTTAAGTTACTAATGGTTATATTAATTAGAAGTAGAAGGAGATTGCTTGGGAGAATTGGAATATGACTTTTCTTTTTGTCATGATATACCTCAGAGCCCTTATACAAAATCCTGGCATTCATTTTGACTGATTTTTACCTTTTTTTTTTTTTGGTAGTGCTGGGGATTGAATCCAAGGCCTTGTGCTTGCAAAGCAAGCACTCTACCAATTGAGCTATATCTGATAGCTGATGGAATCATAGTTTAGACCAATACTATTTATGCAGGCACCAAAATAAGGCCTATACCATTCTTCCAGTTTTTGCTGCTAATAGATAAGGGCTTTTCCAATGGTTTCTTGGCATCAAATTCAAGCACCAAGTCTTTCATTTCCCTTCCCTCTTGTGGTTTTTTTTTTTTTTTTTAAGAATTTTTTGTAGGTACTTTGGCTTTTCTTCAATCACTCTGTCTTGGCTTTGTGGTTCTTTTTATTGCCCAAAGAATGGGTTTGTAAACCAGATGTCAAGATGCATGCCTGTAATCTCAGCTAGTTGGGAGGCTGAGGCAGGAGGATTGTGAGTTTCAGACACTGTCTCAAGAATTAAGGGCTTAGGAGTATAGAGCAGCCATGGGTTCATTCCCAGCATTGCAATCAATCAATCGATTACTGAACCACTTGGTATCCTATAACATGGATGATTTGTGGGCCTTTGGATTTTAGTACTGTTCAAATGTTCTTAATCTGAAACTTGTTAAGTGCTACTTTTATGCTCAAAAATTTTAAAATTTTGAAGCATTTCAGATTTTGGATTTTTGGATTAGGGGTATCCAACTGGTAAAGTCTATGCAAATATTCCAAAATATGAAAAATGCTAAATCTGAAGCATTTTTAGTCCCAAGAATTCTGGACAAGAGATACTCACCCTGTGCTGGTAGTGATGGTGTATGCCTATAATCCCAGCGGTTTGGGAGGCAGAAGCAGGAGGATTGTGAGTTTAAAGCCAGACTCAGCATTTTAGAGAGGCACTAGGCTGGGGATGTGGCTCAGTGGTTAAGTGCCCCAGAGTTCAATCCCTGATACAAAACCAACCAAACAAGAAGAGATACATACCCTGTATAATCTTAGACCTATCAAGGCTTCAATGCAAGATAAATATGATTCCTGTTCATCTGATTATGGATGTAGGGAAATCTTATGGAAATAAGTTGATAATACTATTATTTACTAATTACATTTTCTCATGTGGCTGAGGGGTATTCTTCATTTATCTGGAAATGTTAGTATTCTCTTTTATAAATCAGAGTTACTAGCATAAATGTATAAATGCAGCATTTATTTTGACCCTTGTTCACTTTTAATACTATGGCAAATTTTTAGTTTTTATATGGGGGTAATGCGGGGAGCCAGAGCATTACTCACTTAATTTATACTTAATACAGTTTTAAAATATACAGTGGACAAATCTAAGTAGAGGTAAGAGTGGTCTATTTGTATAAATTGATAAATATTATGTAAGATTATAACTATGGGAAAGTTGTTTATGTATTTATTTATTTAAAAATATAGCTTTGGAACTATGGACACACCCAAGTAGTGTACTCAGTCTACTGAAATGATTATATGCTGGTGACCAAACAAAGGACTTTATTTTTTAAACAGTTGTCTTACTTGCATGTGATATATGCATTCCTGAAAATATGTGCAGAATTCAGATAATGTCCTCAAATTGTGTATTTTGAGAATTTAAATGAAAAGAAATAAATGGGAGATGAAATTCTATATCATTTGTAAGTAAGAGGAGAGTTGTTATCAGAACATCAGTGAGAACCATCTGAAGGGTATTATTGGCAGGAACTGTGGCCTGTGGTTGAAGGGTTCAGCTAACCTGTAGTAACCTGACAGCAGGGCAGCCAGGGTTGTTCCAAACATATTCTCATTTCTCTACATGTCTTCTACAAAGTAAACACAGCTAGAAGCCAGAGGGCTGGACTCTGAAGATGCAGAGACCAATGATGCAATCCATATGATGAAGTTTATACAACCTGGTACTCAGGACAGTATTCCAATATAAAATTAGAACATTAAAGAGAAGTGTTACAACA